TGGAGTGTTTTGCAGAATGAATAATAATTAAATATTAATATTGTTATATTATATTATACAAATGCTAATTGTTCTTCTCGTTGATTAAATGAACGTATTGTTCTAAATGTTAAACTGACTACGACTTCTAATTATTTCTTTATTACCATAATAACAATATTCTGTACAGTCACTTATATTCAAGCCTTGACGATTTTGTTATGATTAAAAGCGATCTTGGTTCTTTAAAAAAAAGTCTTATCCTCCACACATTTTTGCAATTTGTGATATTAATTTTTTTGTTTATTGTTCAGATTTGGCTGATTTATTATCACGACTATAGATGGGAGTCTAAATTGTTCTAGGATATGATGACTAAAGTCAAAATAGTATTTAGACGAAATGTTTAAAATGTCCAAACAAGCTTATGAAGCTTTTAATGATAATAATAAACAGGTCATTCTTTTTTTTGAACGCGTGCCACACTTTTTTTTTGTAATGATAAAAAATGTTGATTGAATCGATCAATTGCAAACAAAAGATGAATTAGATGTCCAAATAATTACTATAATATTCATTATGGAAAGTAAACTGTTGTTAATAAACAAATGTGTGAATTATCCCAATCACACTATTAACCAATATTGAATAATTTCTTTCTTACGGCAATAATAATAATTTAAGATTTTTAATATTTTTAGCAAACGAATATAATATTTTCGAGTTTGGATAAGTTAAAAAAACATTTTTTTTAAAAAAATCGATTGTGATGACAATTTGCTACTAAAAAAAAATTATAACTATATTTTTGCTCAAGTAAAAAAAGAATGTATCGTCAACATTATGGCCAATTGAAAGGTTAATCACATTTTTCCACTTCGAAACTTCCCGACGCTAAAAGTTTATTTATTCTAATTACAGCGTGAGCAATATCTGGAAACTCTATTTGTCGGCGTGTCCTTTATCAAAAAGAATAAAGAATACCCGATATTAAAAGATCAAAGCACGTGAGATTAAAAATTTTCTCACCAGACAGGAAATCCGTGTGCGCAATCGGCCAAATGTTCAACCTTTTGGAATATGAAGACCATGCTTTTATTATCGATATCTCTTCCGCCATTACTAGTTATGCGGTTTATGACACTGCCTTGATCTGGCCTGCGATATTGTTTATTAAATAATTTACCATCGATATTGTGAACATATAAGATAATTAAATAATTAATAAATAATCAAATGATGATGACTATTATTATTATTTCCCGTCAATCAGATGAAAAAAATTCAATAATATGAATTTTTGATCTTGAACTTTTTTAATAAGCTCTTTTGTTTGCTCGGTGCCTAGTCCTATTCCCGCGAAAGAGTGTAGAGTTGATGTGAACTGCTGCTATGCCAGTCGTAGTAGTTACAACAATATCTTCAACTCCATAAATATTTTTAAGAGCCAAGATGATTATTAATAATAGAAGGCTTTTTCCGGTTCCTGCAGAGCCTGTAAAAAATACATTCTCGCGTTTATATTAACCACCAGGTCATAAACTAGTTGTTGTTTTTCTGATGGTTTCACGTCTATTGATTGGGTATCGTATTTGAAATAAATAGAGAGAGAGGATCTTTAGATGATATTTTATTCAAATATTTTTTATTGATATTGGTTGCCAATCGTCTTCATCTGACCAATCAACAATCTTTTCCTTTTCCTTTAACTTCTTCATGCCTTATTATTATTATTATTATTATTATTATTCTTCTTCTTCTTCTTCTTCTTCTTCTTCTTCTTCTTCTTCTTCTTTAAGAGAATTACAATCACTATGATCACAATTACTATTATGAGAAGAAGGAAAAGGAAAAAGATAATCTATTTTTCAAAAAAAAAAAGATCGCCGGGTCCCATCATAT